GGACTATGGGACATAAAATGATACTCGTGAAGAGTGTGCTTCTTAGCTCAAGTAGATACATGAGACTAAATGGGCAGCTCCTTTCCGGAGGTGAGATGAGAAGGCAGAGGGGGTCAGGAGCTGGTTGAATGGACACGGGAAATCTGGGGTGGAAAGGAGGAGTGTGCTGTCACAGTATAGGGAGAGCAATTAGGGTCACATAGCAGTGTATGTATAAATTTTTGTATGAGAGACTAACTTGAATTGTAAACTTTCACTTAAAGTACAACAGTAAAAAAAATTTTGTGTACACGAGTGTGTGATATATGTGTATGACGTGTACACACGATATATGTGTTATTGTTGAAAGAAGAAAACAATTTTAAAATCACCTCATTTAGAGATTCTTCACCTAGATTCATGGAATGAAGTCCTAAAGAGTCTGTGAACTGATATCAAGGGATCTGTGAACTCACATTAATATTGCTGTTGTTGTTAGTGCTGTCGAGTTGGTTCTGACTCACAGTGACCCTATGTACAACAGAACGAAACACTGCCTGATCCTGGGCCATCCTCAAAATTGTTGCTATGTTTGAGCCCATTGTTGTAGCCATGGTGTCAATTCATCTTTTGAGGGTCTTATTCTCTTCCCCTGACCCTTTACTTTATCAAGCATGACGTCCTTCTCCAGGACTGGTCCCTCCTGATAACACGTTCAAAGTATGTGAGATGAAGCCTTGCCATCCTTACTTCTAAGTAGCATTCTGGCTGTACTTCTTCCAAGAGAGCTTTCTTCATTCTTCTGGCAGTCCATGGTATAGTCAATATTCTTCACTAAGACTATAACCCAAAATTTGTGTGTTTTTGCACATATGTGTTTTTCTAGAAAGCAGGTATTCCAACATTCACAAAATCTCAAATAGTTCAAAGACTTTAGAGTTTAAGAATTGCTGATGTATTTCAGCCTCTTTATTTCATAAGTGATGCAATCAGCCCAAATGAAGATGAAAAAAAAATTAAGACATTTAAAAGAAATTTCTGGGTACTAATATGTGATATTAGTAGGAATATAATTGGTGGAGCATTTCTGAAGGGCACTTGGCAATATGTATCATAATATAAAATATGCATAGCTTTTGACCCACAATTCCAATTCCAAGAAATTATCTAAAGATGGCAATAAACTAGACAAGTACATAAAAATGTACCCACAGGAAATGTAGAACAAAATTCTAACTCACAAAAAAAGACCAGACTTACTGGCCTGACAGAGGCTGGAGAAAACCCCAGAGTATGGCCCCTGGACAGCCTTTTAGCTCTGAAGTCACTCCTGAGGTTCACCCTTCAGTCAAAGATTAGACAGGCTTATAAAACAAAATGAGACTAAAGGGGCACACTAGCCCAGGGGCAAGGACTAGAAGGCAGGAGGGGACAGGAAAGCTGGTAATAGGGAACCCAAGGTCCAGAAGGGAGAGTGTTGACGTGTCATGGGGTTGTTAACTAATGTCATAAAACAATATGTGTGCTAACTGTTTAATAAGAAGCTAGTTTGTTCTGTAAACCTTCATCTAAAGTACAATAAAAAAAGAAAAATGTACCCACAGGTATGTTCATAGCAGTCCTGCTTAAACCAGAAAAATTGGAGAGAGTCTAAATATCTAGCAATAGGAGATGGCTTAATTTAATTATGGTACCTTCACACAATGCATGCCATTCTAAAAGGGTGGTATATATCTATATTCATTGACATAGAAAATGTCTAGAACATATAACTAGATGCACAAAAGCAGGTGCAAAACCATATTTATAGTGTGATCTCATTAATATAAAATATCATCTATGTATCTAGGCATAGAAAGAGATTTGGAAGGAGGTTTATCAAAATAATAATATGAGTTATCTCTGAATAGTATCATTTCATGGAATTAAAAAATATTCTTTAAACTTTTCTGTACTGGGTAATATTTTTACAATAAACATGTATTATTGTTATATGTAGGAAACCAATGAAACTAACAAAATAAAAACAAACATTATTTTCCTCAAACAGAGACTGAAAGCATTTCCCTTGCAAATGGGAACCAGACAAGGATGCCCTTTATCACCACTCTTATTCAGCATTGTACTGGAAGTCCTAGCTAGAGAAATAAGGCAAGAAAAGGAAATAAAGGGTATACAGATTGGTAAGGAAGAAGTAAAACTATCCCTATTTGTAGATGATATGATCCTATATGTAGAAAATACCAAAGATTCCACAAGAAAACTACTGGAACTAATAGAAGGATTCAGCAAAGGGCAGGATACAAGATCAACATAAAAGAATCCATTTGATTCCTCTATACCAACAAAGAGAACTTTAAAAAGGAAGTCAGGAAAACAATACCATTTACAATAGCCCCCTCAAAAGATAAAATACTTGGGAATAAATCTAACCAGGAACATAAAAGACCTATACAAAGAAAACTACAAAACACTACTGCAAGAAATCAAAAGGGACCTACATAAATGGAAAAACATACTATGCTCATGGATAGGAAGACTCAACATTGTGAAAATGTCAATACTATCCAAAGTGATCTACAGATTCTAATGCAATCCCCATCCAAATTCCAACAGCAGTCTTTAACGAGATGGAAAAACTAATCTCCAACTTTATATGGAAAGGAAAGAGGCCCCAGATAAGTGAAGTATTATTGAAGAAGAAGAACAAAGTAGGAGGCCTCACACTACCTGATCTCAGAAACTACTATACCGCCACAGTAGTCAAAACAGCCTGCTACTTGTACAACGACAGACACATAGAAGAATGGAAAAGAATTGAGAACCCAGACATAAATCTATCTACCTATGGATAACTGATTTTTGAAAGAGGGCCAAAGTCCATTGAATGGGGAAGAGGTAGTCTCTTCGACAAATGGTGCTGGCAAAACTGGATATCTATCTGTAGAAAAATGAAAACTGTATCATTTCTCACACCATACACAAAAACGAACTCAAGATAGACCAAAACCAAAACAAACAAACAAATAAACAAAACAAAACAAAAACCAAACCCATGGCCATCAGTTTGATTCTGACTCATAGTAACCCTGTAGTAGAGTAGAACTGTCCCAGAAGGTTTCCAAGGAGCGATTGGTGGATTTGAACCACCAACCTTTTTGGTTAGCAGCCAAATTCTTAACCACTGTGCCAGCGGGGTAAGATCTAAATACAAAATCTAAAACTCTAAAGATCATGGAAGAAAAAATAGGGACAACACTATGGGTCCTAATATATGGCATAAATAGAATACCAAACATAACTAAAAATGCACATGCAGCAGAAGATAAACAAGATAAATTGGACCTCCTAAAAATTAAACACTTATGCTCAACAAAAGACTTCTCCATAAAAGTCAAAAGAGAACCTACAGACTGGGGAAAAAATTTTGGCTATGACATATCCAACAAGGGTCTAATCTCTAAAATTGATAGAAAACTTCAACACCTCGACAATAAGACAAACAATCCAATTAAAAAATGGGCAAAGAATATGAACAACCACTTCACCAAAGAAGACATTCATGTAGCTAACAAACATATGAAGAAATGCTTGTGATCATTAGCAATTAAACAAACAAACAAAAAAACCCCAAACAGTTGCCATCGAGTTGATTCTAACTCATAGAAACACTATAGGCAGTAAAACTGCTCCATAGGGTTTCCAAGGAGCGACCGGTGGATTCAAACTGCCGACCTTTTGGTTTACAGCCACAGCTCTTAACCACTGTGCCACTAGGGCCCCCATTAGCAATCAGAGAGATGCAAGTCAAAACTACAATAAGATAACATCTCACCCTGACATTACTGGCACTAATCAAAAAAAACAAAAAATAACAAATGTTGGCAAGATTATGAGGAGACTGGAACTCTTATATACCACTGGTGGGAATGTAAAATGGTACAACCACTATGGAAAATGGTATGGCACTTCCTCAAAAAGCTAGAAATAGAAATACCATATGATTCAGCAATCCCATTCCTAGGAATATATCCTAGAGAAATAAGAGCCATCACGTGAATAGACATATGCACACCCATATTCATTGCAGCATTATTCACAATAGCAAAAAGATGGAAACAACCTAGGTGCCCATCAACAGATGAATAGATAAACAAACTGTGGTAAATACACACAATGAAATACTACACAACGATAAGGAGTAATGATGAATCTGAGAAACATCTCACAACATAGATGAATTTGTAGGACATTATGCTGAGTGAAATAAGTCGATGACAAAAGGACAAATATTGTATGAGAGCACTATTACAAAGTAACAACAAAATGTTTACACATAGAAAAAGAAAGAAAGGAAGAACATTCTTTGATGGTTGCCAGAGATGGGAGTAAATTACCAAATAGATAGAAGACACGTGTTAATATTGGTAAACGGAAAGGCAATATACAATATGGGAGAAGTCAGCACAACATGACCAAATCAGAGGACACTGAGAGGAACACAAGAATAAAAGGCAGCTACAGTAAGTACTAT